TGAGTTTGTTGGTTTTGGGCAGGGTCTGGCTGACGTGCAGGTCCGAGTACCGGGGCGGCTTCCGCAGGGGGTTGTTGATGTCGCAGGGCACCGACTCTGTCCGGACTAACCTCGCTGGATTGGGAAGGGACAGAGGGACAAAGGGGATGGAGAGGAGGGGGAGAGAGAGGGAGAGACATCAAAGCTCTGCAGGGGCCCTCGGGGTCACCCTGTGCTTGCAAACCACTCTGGAATCGCTCTGCCAAGCGATTCCTTCCCCCTGGCACCTCCAGCTCGGATCCTGCCCTGGGATGGCAGCTGGGCTTTGGGATCCCCTGCTCCCAGGCTACAGCCCAATCCCCCTGGGATGTGGGGGGCTTAAAGCCCCTCGTGGTGGGCTGTGAAGTGCCCACTTCTCCCCCCACCGAGGGGCTGCAGTTTGGGGGGGCTCAGCAGCTGCCACAGCCACCCCCAGAGCCGGGGCTCAGCCAGCACCGGGAGGAGGCACAACCCTCTTCCTCCCCACAGCTTTTTTGGGATGAGGGGAAAGAGCTGGCCCTCAGCAGGGAGACTTCTTTTCAGGGGGGAAAGCCGGCCTGCAGGTTGGGGGGCTCAGGAACGGTTGGTGTGCAAGAAAACGTGTTTAAGAGCTGGGTTTGGGGGGTTTTGCTTTGGGGGGGCAGAGCTATTTCACTGGTGCTGAGGCCACCCCAAAGCCCCGCTGCTCCTTGTGCCCACGCTCAAAGACACCGTGGGCAGCTCCAGCTCTCACAACCTCACGTCCCACAGCCACAAACTCCAATGTCTGCCCATCCCAGGAGCCCTGGAACAGTGGGATCTTGCCTTCCCTGCCTCCTGGTCAGGGTCTGCAGCAGCTCTCAGCGTGACAGGGGTGGTCCTTCAACCCCTTCCACCCAAATTTGCTGCAGGGAAGGGCCTGGGGAGGGGGAGGGGGGTGAAGTGGAAGCTGTAAAATTGCCCCCTCCGAGGCTCAACGTCCCCACTCGTGAGGTGCCACCAACACGATCCACTCCCCCGCCAGCAAACCAACAACGTTTGTGGGGATATTTAAACACAAAGCCACAGCTTTAAGAGCTCAAAATTCGAGGCAGCAACAACTGGCAGGTGGTCACAGTCCTCTGGCCGTCAAGGGGCAGCCAAAATCTGGAAGAGAAGGGGTGGGGAAGCGGCGGCCCCATCGGTCGTTCCTGCTGCAAAGTTCTCCCTCCTCTGCGGGTTTTAGGACGGATTTTAGAGCGGGATAAGGCAGCTCCGAAAGCACCACGAGCATCCACGTGGCCACATCCCCGTCGTGTGGGGGGACCCCCATGCACCGCTTTCGGGGTCCCACCGTCCGCCCTGAGCAAAAAAAAAAAGGCTAAAACCTGTTGGACTTACCCCGTGCTGTGGGGAATCTGAAAAGAAAAGGAGGCAGGGGGAGGGTGGGTGGAAGTGGTTTGCAATGCAAATCTGCCTCGCCCCGCACGGCTCGTCTCCCTACAAGCGGAAAAAACGGTGGGTAAAGTTTTCCCAGAGCGCCCGAAGCGGTTCGGGAGCCTCCCAGGGCCCGGCTCCCGAATCGCCCCGGGGGGCTGCTGGAAGTTTTACCTGCTGGCAACGTCCCGTGGAGGCACGAGGGGGGCGGGAGAAAGGCCCTTACCTCCTCGGTGGATGATCAGCAGGTGACACGGAGGGGCCTCTTTGGTGCATTTGTTGTGGCACTTGAGCCTGGCAGGGAACAGAGAGAGAGGAGTGAGGGAGACACGGAGCGTCCCGGGATGGAGAGCACGGAGGGGCAGGACAAGGGGGAGCAGCTTCCCGCTGCCAGAGGGCAGGGTCAGGTGGGATATCGGGAGGGAATTCCTCCCTGGGAGGGTGGGGAGGTCCTGGCGCATGTTCAAGGATTGTCTGAGTAGCAGGAAGAAATGTCCCCTTCCAAAAGTGACATCCCAGCGGGAAAAGCTGGGAGGGGAAACAGAGGGAGCGGCTTGGGAGGGTGTGAGGGAGAAGAGGAGGCTCCAGGGAGAGCTGAGAGCCCCTTGCAGGGCCTAAAGGGGCTCCAGGAGAGCTGGAGAGGGACTGGGGACAAGGGATGGAGGGACAGGACACAGGGAATGGCTTCCCACTGCCAGAGGGCA